TATGAATATCTGCCAACCTGAACTAATCAAATTTTTATTTAGTCTTTCAATTTTATTTTTTTAGATTATTTCGGTATTTTACTTCCTATTAAAAAAAACGTTCTATATCATGCATATGTGGTGGTATATATTGACTTTGGGGCTTGTCTTGTTTGTTTAAAGCTTTACATAAATTTAAATTATTTTTAATACATATACATAGTTTATTTGAATTTCAGACACAAATTTTATTCGAAGTTAGGAATGCATATTCTTATGAATAAATTATTAATTCAATTTTATAAAATTATCTTAATAAAATAATGATGGTATTTATTTATATATTATAATCTTATCAATAACATGAAATTTCATAAAAAAAGAAGAAGAAGATTTTCCATCCTACTTTTTTATTTTAAAGAAATCTTTTCATACTCAGAATTTTATTTTTCATTACATATTCTTGTTATTATTATGTGAATAATAAAATAATTATCCCATTTAATATACTGCTCTATTGAATTTGTCCCCGGTAATTTCTCTCCAATAATTGTATTTTTTTGTTGTTGTTGAAAACAATGTGAGGAAAGGAATATAAGCCATAATATAAAGAAACACACAACCTAGGATATAATTAATATAATTGTCATTTTCATTTAAATTAAGTATAAATTTATTGTTTACTTTTATAGTGCAATAGATTTAATGGGTGGTTTCAAGATCTTAGGTGAGGTGGATACGAGCTTATCCGGAATCAGAATTTAATAAAATAGTTAGAAAAATCAATGATTAGAAGCCGCTAAACATAAAATCTTGAGCATGTGTTAATCCCAGTATTGTGGACATGTACAATAAAACAAAACATTGTATTGTTATCTCATACAAAACCATTTTCCTATATCTCATCATGTGTTTAGACAGTAATAAAATAAGAGAGAAGAAAGAAAAAGGCTTTGTTCCATAACAAAACAACTGTAATGATTTTATTATTAATTTAAATAGATTATTTTATGATTAGGCATCCCAAAAATGAAAAAAAGAAAGAAAGAAAGCTCATACTAACAATACTTTTAACATTTCCTTTTGTTTGTCGTTATGTTCCACAACATGGAAAATAGCTATTTGAAGTAATTTTGTCTTTAAAGTAAGAAAGAAAAAATTATATTTCTTACTGAGTTAATGGGTTAAAAGTACAATACTTTTAAAAAGTAAATATAGCTTTATTTGCTTATTTAGAGATGAGTTCACATCAAAAATATATCTGTGAACAGAAGAGAAGTGGAAAAATTACATCTTGACGGGACACCAAAGAGGTACTTGAAAACCATAAAGATGTTAAAACCCACGATTGATTGATGCGTAGAAGCCAAAAAGTCCTACGTCCTCCCATCGTGTTTGGTTTTCATTTGGGAAAGAGATTATTGCTGAACCCTTTGCTCGAATCAAAGCATGTTTTAAGATTCCAAAAGAACAAAAATACCATGTTATTCCCAAATCTGTCCAAACTTCCAACTTCAAATCAAAGATTCAAACCTGGCGGCCAACCTAAAAAGTTATGACAACTAAGGCTAAGCAAACATGTGCAAGCAACAATGACTACTTCTGGACAAAACTTATAGACACACTACTGTATGTATAATACCGTGTTATTACTGTTGTACAAATACATTGTACTGTTATTTTAATAATTTACAGTAAATTTTATATAATTGGATAACAGCACATATGCATATGTTTACGAAACTTTATAATAAAATTAATACTCTAAATAATATTATTAAAGTGGTTTGAATACGAGATTATTAAAATAGATTTAAGCCAATTTATTATTAAGAAATATGTCATATTAAATAAAAAATTTATAATTTAAATTAAATCAGGATAATTAGTCTTGTCTATTTAAATTATGTTTTAAAAACTTAAATGAGGTTAGATCTCATAATAATGGACTTACTTATTTTATAAAAGAATCATTATTTTTAAAATAAAAATAAAAATAATATTATTTTATTAAAATAAATAAATATATATATATATATATATAATAATTTGATAATATGAATAACTATAAAATATCTTACATAGTTAAAATTATTATTTAAAATTATTAGATTACTAAAATAAAAAATACTTCTTTAATTATCATTATAGAATGAATAAATATTTTATAGTTTATATATTAAATTGTCATATACAAAATAAAAATAAATTTTATTAATATAATTTAAATCTTTTATTTTTCTTATTTTCATTATAATAAGATAAAAATTGACATATTAATCGATAGAGTTAATATAAATTTAAATTAGATTAACAATTATAATTATTTTGAATCATCGATTAGTTTTCCTTCTATTTGACTCATATCATTAAATCCAACCACTCATTTTCACAACCTTATATTAAATAAAGAATTTTAAAAATAATTGTTTTTCAGATAATTTAAAATGATTTATAGTGATATAATATTAAAAAATTTAAAAAATTGACATTATGATAATTTTAGAAATTATTTGAATTATATAAAATTGCAGACGAAACTCCTCACGTTCAATTTTTTTCCCCTTCACCCTCTTTTTTTCCCTCGACTCTATTTTTTTTATTCCATCTCTATTTTCTCACAATATCCTCTATATGGTTATTAAGATTTCAATTTATATAGAAGTTACATTTTATACATGGTAAAAAATTAAATTACCTTATTCAACTAAATAATTTTACTTTAGAAATTAAAATTAATTTATTTAAACAAATCATGTATTACCAGAAAGATTAAATCATAAGATTTAAAATTTTCAAATTAAAACATTACAAACAAATAAAAATTGCAGTAATTTTTTTTTAATCACTTAAATAGTAGAATTTTAAATTTCTCAAGTAAATTAAGAATTTTAATTTTTTTCATGCACTTCCTTTTCTTTTTTCTTTCTTCCATCCCATTTCTATCTATCACTTCTACCAGTCAATATTTAGACTTTCAATTTGTGACAGGTGAGAAGTGGATACAAGATTTTTGGCTTTCAATTTGTGAACTTGTGCTTTAGTGGTATCTATTAAAAGATTCAGTTATTAGAATATGTGCACCAAAATACTGAGAATCCGTTCAGATAAGTAAAAATATCGAGTGCAATTCAGTTCTTTTAGTTCAGATAGTTTTGGTTCTCAATGTGGTGCAGTAAAGAGTCATTCAGTTCATTTTATTAACACTTTATTACCAGTGTGTACTACTCTGCAAGGTAGCAGTACAAAAGAGACAAAAACGTGACAAGTCCAACACTAGCAATCAAAGATATAAAGCAAGCTTCTAAATGAAATACCATTTCCCGAACCCAGTAAATTTCACTAGAACTCAAATTAATGCCTCATGATGAACCCAATGAACTTCAATAAAAGACAAGACCAAATTGACAATATTGTGTCACCTAGACCATGAAGCACCGAAATCTAAGAAGTAGCTAGGACCTAAGAAAAAATTATAAAAAACCATCAATATATAGAGGACAAAAATCTTATATAGCTGCTACTGTGAAACATTAAGCATCTATCTATAATATAAAAACATAGAAGCATTGTCCTCTGGTAAACCAAAAAATGGAAATCAAAGTAATGTCCAACAATTGTGTTCTTAAATAGGAATTTGCAGAATTATAGTTATATATTTATAAATTTTTATACAGACCTATATGTGTATCTTACAAGTCATATTGCTTTAGCTGATATGTATATCATACTTAATGCATGTATAGTAAGTATAGCTAACTATGTAATCATTCAGAGAAAGCAACGGAAATACCCAGAACTAGGTATTGTCTCTGACTTCGCGATCATTCAGATAGACCTAAACCAAAAATGACTCTTACTACGTAATCGCTTGAGGCACGAATTGCAATTAGTCCTATTATCCTATCAATACATAACGGGGTGTTGGAGAAAATGAGGCAAAGACGTAGTAGTTAAGTATGCATTTCATTATCCCCTGCCTGGATAACCCTTTTGTTACAGCACAGGTGCAACCTCAACTAGCCATACATAGGGTCCAAATAATATATGGTAGGGTATTGCTGCGAATTTATAGTCATGTTCTCTATTAACTGCCTGATAATATAGTTAAGCAGAAATACTGATTTAACGAATATTGTAAAACTTTCTAATCTTATGCAAGAATGTAACAACCATAAGGCTAAGAGGGGAACCATCCCTCAAAAGCTAGCTCAAGAGGTTGGAGAACCTCCTACCTTATAAGGCCTCCCTGGTAAGGAGACCTCCCCAATGTGGGACTTGTTACAATACCACCCCGTTCGAAAGCCAACGTCCTCAATGGCTGCACTCCACGACACTTCACTCACCGGCACTTTACTCGGCTTTCTTACCGGTCAGAACCCTCCAGTGGTCAGAACCCTCCGGCGGTCAGAACCCTCCGTGGGTAGCCCTTCTCGAGTTGGCTGGCTCTCAATGAAAGCATCAATGTAACAACCATAAGGCTAAGAGGGGAACCATCCCTCAAAAGCTAGCTCAAGAGGTTGGAGAACCTCCTACCTTATAAGGCCTCCCTGGTAAGGAGACCTCCCCAATGTGGGACTTGTTACAAAGAACAAAGGAAAACCGTTGCAACTACTTTAACCGGTATGAGAAACATTTATACATCTTGATTTCCTTCCAAATCAAAATTAAAACAACGTCGATGCCCATTAATTAACCTGAAAAGTTTAAAATAGAAGAATATATATACTTTGTTTATCTTTCACAAAGATGATAACACAATTAGAATGTTTCTCAATTGCACTACCCAAACCTCCATCAGGCTTCCTGCTTCGCACCATTAGCCACCATTTCAAGTCCAGTCAAACGTACAATCACAACTAATACAGATTCCAAAGTCTGTTCAAGTACCTATTGGACACACAAAGACATTTAAATAAATACAACAATGAAAAAAAAATCACAAGAATTTCACAAAGGATTTACTATTTTTTTTTCCTAATCATTTCAGATTTATACTTGTAATAAACTTTTTCCGCAAATCAAAACGTAAGCGTTGCGTAGAATAACAGAGAAACTAACAGCACATTACACAGAAAAAAGCATGAAACATTAATGTAATAAATACGGCTTCGGAAGGAACAAGTACCCTGGGACAATTCGCAGCAAGCGCGCGATTCGACGGAGATGTGAGAAGTGAGACGAGCGGCGGCGTCAACGCTGTGCAGAGGCATCAGCGATTGGGTGCAGCCGAGAATTCCAATAGTCCTGGTGAAATAAATTTAGAATTGATAAAAAAATGAATAATTATAAAAAACAGGTCAGAAGGAAAGTAAGCACAAGTTACCTTACCTAGGGAGTGTAATTAGGGGGCGGCGAGGGTGGAGAAGGTGAGAGCGAATGGAAGGGGAAGAAGGACGGTGAATGCCAGAAGCGGAGGAACGAGTTGGTATGGATCTCGCGGCGGAGAGTAACGACCGCGAGAGAGATCCACCGCGCCAAACCATTTCTTTGATTTTGCACTATGCGGAAATGGAATCCGCGATTAGGGGTTTAGGCAGCGTTTGAGGAAGAAGCTAAACCCTAGTGACGTTGTTGTCAGAGCAACAAGCCCACATTGGACCGGACTGTGGCCCAGAAAGATTGAGCAAGGGCCCTTTTGGACACTAATCGCGGCAAGTTGGGCTTTGGAATCATTAATTAATTAATATTTATTGAGGAAGAAAAAATAAAAAATAAAACTTTTTTTACGAGTTAAACTTAGTTTGTACATAATACTAAAATTTCTACACTAGAAAATTTAAGTGTTTAATATTTCAGACAAAAATTACACATTTAAAAAAAAATGAGAAATATATAAGACGAAATTACAAGATGAATTTCTAATTAGAAAAATTTTACCCCAAAAAATTATCTGGACTACAACATCGGTAGTGTCTATTTCTTAAATTTCTTTATCCTTCTTTATTTGATTTTTTTTTTCTTTATTTTACCCCATTCGTTACCTAATAACCAAAAAAAATCGTCACATTTTTTAGAAATTTCCAGTTCATAACCTTTCTTCCTTTACTTATTACTCTATATATTACTCCCAAAACCAATCTTAAAAATCTTGGTTTTACAAGTATGCTTTAGATAATAAAAAACACAACTATAAGTATTGTTTTGTGTAACATAGTTTTATTGTTAAATTAAATATATTCAATAAGTAACAATCTTAGGTATGTATCCATATTCTCAAGTTTAGGGTTTATATATATATATATATATATATATATATATATATATATATATATATATATATATATATATATTTAAAGTTACTTTTATAGTATAATTTGTACATGGATATTGGCTTTCCAACTTTTTAAGTTACTTTCTATCCCAAAATAATTATTCAACCTCCGCCACTTTATATAACTAATCAATTTTATGAATCAATTCAAATGCTGGTTATGTTAAATTTAAAGTTATATAAATTGTTTTGTTTGTGGCAAACATGTGATTACTTATGTCTTTAATTAATTTGTTGAGTTGAGATTATATAAATATTCATTTATTATATTTTATAATTGCGATATAAAGTAGTATATTTATTTAATTAACATGAGTTTCGGATTGAGTATAAAATATCCAAGTACCTGTGATGCAAAATATATTTCTTAAAAATAGTTAAATTAATTATGAGACAGCCCAATTGTACGTTCATTAATCAATTACCAGTAAAAAGGATAATCTATGTCATAATTAATTCGATTTCAATTCAAAAGGTAGGTTTTTAAAACACGTAGCTTGCTTGCGAAACAAGTTCTCAGTCTAATAATATACACAATACGAACAAAATTCTAATGCGTCATGTTTGTAAAAAAAAAAAATTAGAAACATGGTTCTATTTTGTAAAACGTATTGCAAAAAATAAAATAAAAAATAGCACAACAAATACAACTTTCTATTGGTTTATTTTTCATGCAACTAGTTTTCATTGTTTGAGAGGCACTTCAAATGTCTTCTGTTAAAACTATTATTGCCAAAATATATGTTAGATGTGGTAGTTAATAAGATTGTGAGAATAACGTAGTCCCTCCATAACTATAAATAACCACATTGATAATCAGCCCTCTCCTCTTGACAAATTTTTTATTAATTATATAGAAAAAATCAATGAAATTCTATTAAATATATTGGTCCATCCCATTCTTCATTTAACCAAACATAAGCTTTATAAATTCCAACTAAAATGATGTGAGAGAGTGTATTAGTAACTCTGTAACCAGTTTGAGTCATGTCAAAGGCTGAATACCATTGACTACATTATAAAATTAGATATGGTTAAAAACTTAATAAACATTTATTCAAAATCCATTTTGATAAATTTCACCATGAAATTTATGAAGATTTGTTAGAAAATACGGAAGTCATAAACTCTTTTTCCATGTTAAAAGAATACTTTAAACATTTGTAGTATGGTTTTAACTTTTTAATTGCACACAGGTACAATGATAATACACATGTACTCCAACTCAATCTATACAATTTTTAATCAAAGAGTATGGTCCTACAAGTTACTTCTTACTAAAGATTTATAGCAAAACTCAACAGGATCCGCGAACCAATAGTTACGCCTACAACTACGGTTAGACGAGAAACCTATCCACCTCAAATAGGCGTACTTATGACGAGAAATATAAAGAACTAGCCAAATTATCTTAGTGCTTCGCAGGATCTTACATTCTGAAATCCAAAACGCAGACTGTATTATTGGCAAAACATGCTGCGATCTTGTCACCCTCCTTATTCCAACAGACCTCAAAAATGCCTCCATCGCCAGTGTAGGTTTTAACGATCTTGCCTTCCTTCAAGGACCATATGAGCATCGATTTGTCAGGAGACCCACTGGCTAAATACTCACCGTTGGGACTGAATGCAAGAGAATATACACGATCTCTGTAGGAGCAAATAAACAAATTGGAATCAAAGGGATTGACTATATTCAAAGAGTGCCTATTATCAGCCTCCTTTACTACATTTTAAACGTTCTCTCTACCAAAAAAATCCATTTTGTAGGACCACACGTATACACTGACCACCAGATAAACAATTAAATAAAGCTTGGTGGAAAATAAAATGGAAGTTAGAAACTTCAAGTTAATGAGTCCCATATCAAATTACTCACTTTCAAACAAAGGGGAAAGAGGCTGGGAGGAGGAATTTTATGCTTTCTTCCATACATAAACAAAGCAAAGCTAAGATACTATACCTGTGTCCATCCAAGCTGTAGAGAAGTTTCCCAAGCTCCACATCCCATAGCTTTACCGTTGAATCAAATGATGCACTGCACAAAAAGATGACTGGATCGTTTAAAATATAAAAACAAACTTCTCGTCTGGAATTAAGCAAAATATAAAAAAACGCAATATACACCTGCAAATGGGGCAGTGGTCAGCATAAGCAAACTACAAAGACAACAATATTTGAGGAAAAACAAAGAACATCAATTTATTAGAAACTTTGCCATATACAATGTAAAGTGGGTTCAAATCTTCAAAACATGCTAGAGGGGTAATAACTTGGTAAGGCCTCCAGTTCTAGACCCCCATCTGTATTAGACGTTTATTCCAGGAGTTGTACCAACTAGACCAACTCCAATGGAGTTATATAAATTGATTCTTAAAATTAAGCAACTTGAAAATGACATTGGAATACATGGGTTCTTATAGAGTTCTTATAACAGTTGTTATAAGTAACTGTAGTCTATCACTAAATATGCTTAACAATTAAAAAATATATATATTAAGATGAGAGTTATTATGCGAGTAAAGAGATGAAATGAGACTTATAGAAAATAGTTAGTCTTGAACAATCTTACAGTGGCGAGAATTGAGAACTCAAATTAATTCTTGCATTGGAGATAGATGCACAAAAAATAAAATGTCATGTAGCAGTTACAGGAGTAAGCAGTTATGTATTTGGAAAATAATGTGTTGGTAGAAGTTGAAGGAGTAGGCAGTGACATATAGTGTATACAGAATATAACGTGTCAACTTGTGTGTGAAATGCAACCATCATCTTAGTTTTATTGCGAAGAGCATCACTGGCACCATTGAGTTGTTGTTCAACCCTTTCAATCTCTTACTCAGTCACTGATCGATCCCCACGAGGACCATCCTTGGCGACCAGATCTTGATTTAGTACAAACACCGATGCTAATTTGATGTAATGGAAGATTGTCTCAAGAATGTATTGATCGAAACACACAGAGATTTGATAATAAACCAGAAGATTGTCACAATTACATCTCAGCCTTTAAGTAGAATCCATCATAATAAGGAAACTAAGAAACCAAATTTAAAAAGGAAACTAGGAAACTCATTATAAACAGGATCAGAACAGAAACTAATTAAAGGAAAGTAGGAAGTGGTCACATGCTACATCAAAGTTTTCTGTAGTAGTTTCCGAAACTGGCACGTCAAGATAAAATGCTATATTTTTCTGTGCTATATAATACAGTTTATATCAGATAATCACAAGTGTCCCATCATCAATTGAAAAGTCTAACAATTACAAGCATTATGCATGCATCAATTGGAATACATCTTTTAAGAGCACCAAACAATACATCATTAACAAATGCATTTTAAAAACTCAAAAGAAATTAATCTAACTTCAAGCAACTAACATACCTAGCCAACACCAAACTTCTATTAGGGTTATTTGTAGCAGGACCAGTTGGGCTCCATCTGATAGTATATATCTCCTACAAAATAATTTTTAGTTTTTCCAACTATCTGCAAAATGCATTAAAAATTCGAAAGGAAATATAAATACATCTGACATCAAGAATTAGTCATAGATGGTACCTTGGAATGCTCCCTAAAATCATGAAGATATTTATCATGTTTCATACTCCATATCTACAAAACGAAGTAACAGCAAACATACAACACACAAACAGTAATTTACAAATAGTTCAACAAAAATACATATTCACCAGATAAAAAATGTCATAAAAGGTTTGATTACAAAATCCAGTACCAACAAAAAAGAAGAAGCTAATATGTAATGATTAATTAAACCATAAAAGTGAGCGATATTACCTTTGCAGTCATATCATCAGAACACGAGGCCAATAATGAACCCGTGGGATCCCATTTGATACAATTAACTTCACTCTGAAATTGCAATAGGCCATCATTAGACAGTAAAATCTTATCGAAGCACAAATTGTATTTTAATGAAATATGTCAATGTAATGCAGCAGGACCTATAAACTAGTTACACAGAATTCAGCAATCAAGCAGGTCATTAACTAATGACTTTGCTGTCCAAAAAATTACTGTAGTGCTGCAGATGTTTATAAGAAAATCACCTAGGTGATGACTACTTAGCAAGTCAGGATTTGTTTGCACTTCTTCAACATATCATAATCAGACTGGGGTCCTTCCAATCCAGCATGTCCAGCCAGATTTGATACGCCCAGGTTTACCCCAAAAGATGTTCTAGAAGGTACAAGTTAGAGAAGGCCTCAAACTAGGTTGCTAGATAAGAAGAGAGAGTGCAGGGATTGCTTATATAAGTAAGTATTGTGAAATTAAATCCCTTTGAATTGCCCTTTCTTACATTTTAATAAGACAATCATTTTCCTATCAGGAGTCATCTTCAAAGCATCACCCCATGGCTATCCATAGATTCATATGGTTAACCAAGCTAGACATTTTGATCTTGTTATCCATAAAGTAGGGAAAATCACCAAAGCACTATCACAGGATTATTCATGGTTTGCATTTTTAACCTCTTCCTCCCATAGGTGTAATCCCAGTATCATAAGAAACAGTGCATAGCATCATAATCTTAAAAAACAAGGAGAGGTGTACCAACCTGATGCCCAACAAAAGTTTTAATTGGGAGGTTTTCACCAATCTTGCATACATGTATTTTAGTGTCAGTTGAGCTTGTTGCAAATGACACATTGTTGCGCCAGTCAACATCAAGTGTCCAACCTAAACAGCATAGAAAGCCCAAAATTTATAAATAACCCATAAACATGGTTTTAAATAATATTGCAAAGAATTATCTTTATACTATAAAATCCCACCTTGTAAGGAAAGGCGTGTTTAAAATTTTACCTGAATGAAATTCAAATTGTTGCTTCCATTTCACAGCTTTCACATCCCACACAATTGCAGTTTGGTCACAACTTCCCGTGAGAAGATAATCACCTCTCTTATTCCACTTCAAAGAGAATATGGGTCCCTTGTGTTTGCTTAAAGTACTTCTCACTTCACCTGGTAAAAAAAAAAACACCACTACATGATCAAAATTAAAATAATTTTGACTTTTTAGTTTTATGTTGGAATAGAGCCTAGTGGATGTTTGACCTAGCTGAAAATAAAATTCACGTTTTCTCCCCCATAACATACGAGGGAAAAAAAACTAAGATATCAACGCCGAGGACAGTGGTGCATATTAGCATATAAAAGTAGGTGTTACTAATATTCTTTATCATCTGAACCATTTAGTTTGAGATTCATTTAATAATTTCTCGAATAGAAGAAAAACATTATATTAAAGTAATAATACAAAAAAACTTTTTGTTAGAAGAATATACAGCTTTGTCTGCACCAGCACAAGGCAGTGATATTCATATACTATAAAGAAAAACGTTGGGGAAGAAGCCTCCTTCCCAACTAATGCATGTGCGCCTATCCCTAAGTCATAGCATCTTTGAGCTCCTTTCATCTTAATCACATATATCTCCCAAATGACCTACCATCAGTGGTCCAAATTCTTGCTTGCCCATCATATGAACCAGTAGCCAGTAGTGTCCCCTCCCCCTGCATAACAGCAACTAGAGGTCAAGCTTTTCATAAAATAACTATGACTAAACATATTAAAGACTAAAAACAATTACCATTGAAATATTACACTCGCATAAATAAATACTCAAGCATACCAACAGAGAAATTAATTTACTTCAAATCTGCTAAATCTCCTATCCATTTTCTTGACTTTCACATAACAGACCTCCTACACAAACCTCCCTTGAAAGTGAAACATATAAAACATGCCCTAAAAACCTTGTACAATTTCCTAGTCAAAAACTTCCCCTGCCTAAGTGAGGTTGGTGTAGGTTTGAAAACATAGAGATGTATGTCAAAAATGAGAAAAACAACAGGGAAGGATGAAATCACTATCATTAATCATATTGAGTTCAAATTAGAATTTGAAATCAAACTCACATTCCAATCAAGTGTAGTGACATCATTACTCTTCTCATTCGGTTTACCCCTAGCATGCTTCAACACCAATACATTTGGAGGGTCATTCAGCAAAGCAGGTTTGCATCTCCCTTCTGCTATTTTCCAAATACGAGCTGTTGAATCCCCAGACCTATAGTTGAAATGATGATAGAAAAGTTAAAAGATATCATAAGAATCTATTCATCAGATCCCTACTTCTAAAACAGTTCACTGTCTTCAAAGTTGTCTGAGAAAACAATAAAAACATTCTTCAAAACATATTTCAGAACAAAAATAAAGATCAATGCCTCACATAAATCTATTCACTTCTCTATTTCAAGAGAAATAGATAAAAAGGATATGGAGAATAGGAATTCAATATCATTGAGATAATTGTCATGTTCTCCTACTAATGTCACATGTCTTTACAAAATATCGAAAGAGTTTTATAAAATTAAGATGGTAATCAAGGAAGGGGAAAAAATGTGATTCCATCTATTGTAAGTTTCCATTAGTTTCCCATAACAGAAAAAATTGAACAGTTCATGTTACTCAGGAAACTCAATTATCATGATTCAACTAAATCCTCACAACCTAATCTGTAGCTGGTGATAGACAAGCAGACAAAGAGTTCAATCCTGCTTTAGTATCTATAAAACTATTTATGCAAAGGGTCAAATGGCGAGAAAAGAGGCTAGAAAATGAAAATTTGAGAAAAGATGGGGAACATCCAAGAGAAACACCCACCATGAAACCAAAAAGGAATTTGAAATGCGTAGGATACGATTTAAACCCAATCATTCAAAGATTCTTCTCCACAGTTCCAGCAAAGGAGAAGATAACATACCTAAGAATACTGTCTATGTAACTGCTATTTATGACATAACTGCCTTAGTAACACCGAGAATGCAGTTCTGAATCATTCAAAGTGTCATATCCAAAGTCCAGTAAATGAGGAAGATAACTTACCTGTAGATACTATTCAAGTAATTGCCCTTTATGATATAATTGACTTAATGACACCATGAATGCAGTGGTTTATGTAACACGAATTCCAAAACATTTTGAAAGTGTTATGATTTTCTGTTTTATAGATAAAAAATCAATGTTTAAAGTTACAGAAACAGAACAAAAAACAGATATTCAAACATTTTTTAAAACTACAACGACCTTTTTAGGAACAGGAATTTAGTAGTCCTTAAATTCCAAAAATATAACCAGTGATAGTATACAACTACTAATGTAGAATATTGACTAGATTCGCAGCAACCTCTCTTGCCAATATAGTCGTATTAAAGATGAACAAGCACAAACTTCCAAATACAGTTAGCATCTCTTCATCAAAAAGGAAGAATAACAAATGAAAATCCAAGATGAGAAATATGGTGTACAACTATAAAATACACACTCATGAATTCATATTTATGCAAAAATTAAATTAATCACAAAGAAGATACCTACCCTGATGCTAGAAGAGATCCTGTTGGACTCCATGCACAAGCACACACCTAAGTTTACAGTAAACAGGCCCATTAGAAGAAACAGCACATGAAAGCAAATGTATAATGTTAACAAACAAAAAACACATCGGTGAAATATTTTACCTCAGAAGTATGACCTTCCAAAACAATCACGTCAGACCTAGAGATTTCATTAGTTTGTGATGTTAATACTGTAGAGATGTCCATCGGCTCTGGTCCTATAAAATCAATGAAAACTTTTAATCCATTTGTTGAAGGAAAAATATTAATTGAAACAGAAAACTACTTTGAATTTTTCGCATACTCTAACAGAGAGCAGGCAGTCAGGTTCCAGTGTTGCAAAAACAAGCAACTAAATTAGAAATTTCATCGGGATATATATTCCGAAAGAAAAAATAAAGTGATTGAGGTCATTCGGTAGTAATACATGATATCAAGTAGAATAGTTCTAATCCTATTGAAACTCATCACAACAGTAACCCAGATACATAGTTTTTAGAGCATTCATAAAGCAAGCCAGATAGTCAATAATTTTATAATTATGGCTGATACAGAATGAATAATTATTAAAAAAAAAAAACATTGGAAGACAATAAGCTGAGAGTTACTAGCTCTCCACAACATCAGGACGTCAACTAATCACAACAAGGGCCACTGGAGTATGAGGTTTCCACTAGGTGGGGTATAAGGAGAGTAGATGGATGCAGCATTTCCCCTGCCCTATGCAGAGAGGCAGCTTCCAGAATTTGGACCTGTCACCTTCAGGTCACAGAGCAGTAACATTACCATTGCGCCAAGGTCCACCACCATTCATCAGCTAATCAACTAATCACAACATGCAAGAAAATATTCTACAAGTTTTACAAGGAGTAAACCTTAACACTAGCAAAAAATTATAGGCCTGAACAGAAAATATTTAAAAATAACAGAAGAACATAGGATTATAAGAAAAACAGACATTTAGGGGAATTAGTAATAAAAATATAGTTACACCACAGGAATGCCAAACATGCAGCAAACAACAACAGGTGATTACCTCTAAAAGCTTCATTATCTTCACGCATTACAGTAACCATATCTTCTTGATCTGTGACCATTTCTTTACAGGTCTGATTGCCATGCTGCTGTTCCAGCTCTTTACGATTTTCTGGCCGTTCTCCATCTTTTTCACATTCTTTCACCCTTTCATGTCTGTCCTTTCCTTTTACCAAGCCTCGCCCACCTTCATGCTCCTTTTCAGATTCCTTATTTCTATCCTTCTTCAGTTTTTTCCTTCTTTCATTAACCATTTTCCCAAGTTCATGCACATCTTTCGTGATAAGATCCAAAGGTTGTAAGAACGAAAAATCTTCATCCAGGTCTACATCACACTGGAAAGTTAACATTGATCAGCATGCACCCTAGGGTACAAAAATCTTAAATACTATTCAAACACACAGATGTTATGCTGGTAGTAAAACCTACAGTTAAAAGAATAAAGAATACTAACATTACTCAAGTTGGCTTCCATTTCCAAGTATTGTAGCCCTTTCTGAACAAGTCTAATAAGAGCACCTAGTGGTACCAGAGTTCCATCAATGGAGCTTTTGTTAATACCAGCCTCATTTCCAAATGCAAAAGCAGCATGTATGAAACCTGCAATTATAACAACAGTAACCAAAATCCAATTCAATTGTTTTACACATTATGCCCTTCTAATCAATATAGAAAGCTTCATCAAAATGAAAAGAAACATTTTTATGTTGAGTAAAAAAATTTATAAAATCGATTTCAAGAAACTTTTCCCACCCTAATGATGCTCTAGTCCATTTTATTCCATAGACACTATTGCAACAATGGAGTGTCCTCGTAGTTATCATTCTAAAATCATTTAAGAAATTTAATTTATAAATGAAAAATTGGCAATAGCATTTATTTCAAATATATATATATATATGGGATTCGCTATCGCATAATAAGACAGGGTAAAGATTTGTCTAAATACACTCAGATTTTTGACAAACTTCCATCTTGAGTGTATTTTAAGAAAATCAAAGTTATAACTTACTAAAACACTCCTTCTAAAAACTAAATGCGTGTATATTAGCAAATCCCTATACACACATACATACACATATGCATACATACAAAGAACAATTCTTCTAATGAGTTTTATATATTATGTTTCAAGGTTACAAGTCTAGGAAGAAATAAAATTTAACTCTTTAAAGCAGCTGATAGTTTCTTTGTTGCTAGAATCTCAATTACTCATAATTAATGGACATTATTGAGTTTTAAGCTTTTGTGCTTCGATATATTTAATTTGGTTTTAATTTTATTTTGAATATTGTATGCTATGAGTAAAGACTTTATTAGTGAAATTTGTTAATTTGTTTTTCAATATAATAAAGTCATGAATGTTATGAGGATGAATCGGGTGCAACAGTGAAGCCCCTTTGTGCCTATTGGTTATAGGTTTGGATCTGGAAAAATAACTAATATTATGTTTCGTTTGGTTTAATATTGCTTGATACATTATATTAACTGTTAGAATAACATTTACTAATTATTACCAATTCCTCTACTCGAACTTTGATCGGTAAACCTTGCTCTGGCATATAATTCAAGGGACTAAAGTAACATTTTGCTTACATTTTAGTAGATAACAATCGTGAAAACCTAATAATGCCTGATTGCAGTGAAACTAAAATGCAATTTCTAGGTGAAATTTGATTGCAAAAGTGGGTTTGATTTGGTCACCTCTATAGAAAGGGTTTTGCCCAACAGCACCTCCCGCCCCAGAATTGGTTGAGTAATTGTTAATACCGAAAATTCATGACTCAAAACTAAAAAATAATACGGAATTTCACTTCAGAACATAAAGATTGTAGTCTTATAATCAGAGAACAATCTTCCAGCAACAAACAAAGTTCACTCCTTCTACCTTAAACCAAAATAAAACTCAAAAGATCCACTTTCGAAACACGCTAGTTGCCAACCCTAATCAATTAGCAAGAACAATTTCAGCGCTTGGTCAAACCAACCAGTCAAAATCACTAGAATTTAAAAACTCCAAATTCGTCCAAACACTGAACAGCTAACATTCCCAGAACCGCAGAGGCGTAAAATAGAAGCGCGCAAGCACACATGCGAAACTAAATGCATGTTAAACAATAAAGAAATTCGCAAGAATGGAACCAAAAAAAAAAAAAATCTAAGGATGAAGGAAATGGAAGAAACCTGATTCGTGAAGGTAACGAAAGACGAGATAATTGAGTTCGACGGAAGTGATGGTAGACATGTTGTTTCCTGAGCAAACGGCTTTGGTAGAGCCTTGGAGAAGGAACGGTTACGCAAACAGCATGGAAGCGCGTGCGTGCGAAAGCAGGAACAAGAGAAAGAGCAAAAAGAAAAAAACACCAAAACAGCAAAGGAAGAAGCAGTGTTCTTAATTGCGAATGGGAAGAAATGTAGCTCGGCCACAGCTCCAACTACAGCACTAAGTTACTCTCTGCAACGCAATGCAGAACCTTCTTCTGTTTATGCGTAGTTGATAGTTCTTTCTTATTTTTTGCAATTGTGTCCATGTATTTATAGTCCTTTCTTTACTCCCATTTCACTTAAAATTTAAAAATATAAACTCGATATATTTTATTTATTTTTCTTTATATGCGTGCCTATTTGTACAGTCTTTTCAGAAAATTTATGAGACCCTGTCATAGTAAAAGGATATATTAATTTAAAAAAAAAATCTTAATTAATTGATATATTTAATTTTAAAAATTAAAAAATAATTAAAGTGAATGACATAAAAAAATTATTTTGATTTGAGGATATAAATATTTACCAATATTAATACCTTATTTAATAACCTTAACTTTAATAATAATACAAATTATTGATCATTTTATTATAATTAATTATTAGAACATTATAAGCTTGATAAATAATCTTATAAATAGAGGGATAGAAGGAATAAATTTCTCATTTATACTTTTATTTTCTTATTTCTCAATAAATATATAAGAATATAAACAAATATTCAACATGAAATGAGATTATCCTTAAATCAAAAATTTGTGAAAAAATCAATCAAAAATAAATTACTAAAAGATAATTAATAAAAAGTAATGATAAATTACTTACTCATTCCTTGAATAATGATTCGTTAATGCTAACCCTATAAATAAATAAATAATAAACAGTGGATCTTAAGAAAATGAAAAATAAAAATAAAGGTAGATAATCATTCCATTTTAACTGTTATAATTTGTAACACTTCAATTAATTGAATATTACCTTCAATAACACAGTTTTGTTGTATTTTTTTAATTTAACTATAAAACACTATTTGTCATTTAATTATAGATGTTATATATTGAGAGAATTTTTAAACTTTTTTTTTTTTTGCGTTAAGTGTCTTATATCCTATATTTGAAATAACTTAGAGAAACTTATATGTTTTAGTAATTTAAAAAAACAAGTCACCAAAAAAATTTAATAAATAAAATATATCATTGGAATTTATTCCCATTTGTTTTTTAGATATCATTATATAAGTTATATGATATTTTATTAAAATTTATATAATTATAAAATATTTTGATTTTTTAATAATTTAATTAATTATACATATTTGCATAATATTATATTTTATAATATAGACATTATTAAATAATAAGAATATATTTTAATTTATATGTCTAAAATTAAATTAGTTTCATTTGGTGTTTTCTTTTTAACCTTGAATGAAAAACATGTTGCGATAATAGATAGTAACTATAATTTTAAAAAATAGGAATTAAATATAATTAAAAAAATAATAGGAATTAAATATAATTAAAAAAAATAGATTTTCATATAGAATAAATTGGAAAGATATTAACAGGTATGAATTATTTCAACAATATTAATAATATTTGAATGATATATGAATTATTTATTTTGAAATATAAATTAAAATATTTATATAAAAAATATATTTTTATTACAAATGAAAATTAAATCAAATAATTAAAAAATATCTCAAAAATTTAATAATGTTTTAATTTTTTTATTTAATTGTTATTTATTTTTAAATATTAATTTATTTATCTTATGCATTAATTTTTTTTACTGAACACTTTGTGTTCTTAAATACATTAAAATAAAGTATGATAATAAGTTGTGTGGAGAATTTTAAATAATTTCAATTTTGATAGTGGTGTCATGTTCCGGTCATGTCTTATTTTTTTATTCTTAACAAAATGTATTAGTTTAGAAAATATGATATTTTATTTTTTTATCTTGATGTTTATGAAATTAGAAAGATTATAAAAATTTATTATCATTAATTTTAAATAAAAGTATTTAATTTTTAATGATGATATATTTTGATGTATGATATCTATCTAAAATTAAATGCTAAGTCAATATATTACTTATATTAAAAATTATACAAATAATTTGATATTTCTAAATAAAATTAAAAAATATGTAAGTTTATTATTTCATTTTTTCATAAAATGATAAAAGATTAATATAATATTATATAACAATATTTAAAAAATATTAATCAAATTAATTATTTCAATACAAATCAGAAAAATGAAGTTAATGAGAGGAAACAAATTCACATATGCTAAAAGTTGTTGTGATTAGTTAATTGATATTGAAAAAAAAATTACTTATAATATATTTAATAAATCCAACACGTTCTACTAAATTGAAAACATATTATACCTCTTGTTATAAAATATAAGTATATTGGTTTGTGATTAGTGAATATAGAAATGAAAAAAATAATATAATTTTTTAAAAATTATTTAATTGAAAAAATACTTTCATAAATGTTTGTATTTTTTTAAAACAAATTTCACCGAAACAATATATCTTTATTATAAAATATTTCATAAAAAAAATCATAAAATTTCCATTAAATAATTTCTAGACAAGATGAATAATAATTAAATCAACGTATCTAAAATTTGTAAACTCATGATTGAATATGGTTAAGTTAAATGATTAATTATTAGTTTTGATAAAATTAATTTTTAAATAATTTATATAGAACTAAAAAAGCACGTTTAAATTGAAAATTTATTTTTTAAATCATATTTGAAACAATACGTAATTAATAAAAATATAAATCTATTTACCATAACAATAAATAGAAAATTAAGCTCTGATTATATAACATTGTATCATAGGTTGTATATCCATTATATGTTCATACATAAACATATTGAATCTACTAAAAAAAATTAGTTAGTCTAATTTTTTATTTTTTATTTAATGAAATAAATTACTTGTTAATTTCATTTTATAAACTTTCCAAAATTATATAATTGTTTAAAAAATATAAATAATTGTGTGTATTTTGGGCTTCGTTTACTATACCGAAACTGAGAAAGAATTGAGTTTCTTCTAACATAAGCCCAATTCTATGACATATTTAAACCCATGGCTGATAGGTGAATTTAGAAACTTCAAAATCAATGAATCACTTGGTTACATAGTAGTATTCAACACAACCATTTAATTTGGCTGGGACCAATTTTAATGTGGCAAAAGCCTCACCATACATCGACCCTTCCAGATTTTCTATGGCATTGACTGATATTGATAAACATACTTACCAAATTAAAATGTCTTTAGGAATTGAATTTTCTGCTGTTGAAATTTCAATATAAGTAGGAAATAATATATAAAATGAATACAGATTATTATAACTAATTAACTCTGATTTATAGTTTTTTTTTTAACAATAAAAAATTTCATACGATGAACTTATTGACAAAGTTTTATTTTTACAAATAAAAAATAATTAATAAATATTTCTCTATTAGGGTTTCATAAATTTTCCAATAGTTTGACATAAACCAGTATTAATTTTCAAGAGATATGGATAAATACATATGAAAAGTCAATATTGGTCGGGATTGGAAATTTGAAAAATATTCTGAGAAGAGTATATAAAAAACTATGAGATTTGTATGGAGTTCAAGAGATTCATCCAACTAAACTGAACATGGAAGACAAAGTTATCAACATCTTTTACCTCTTCATTTTTCTCATCACTTTAAAGCTATTATTCTTCAGAAAAAGATTAAAAAACCCACCCCCATGTCCACCGTCTCTTCCGATAATAGGCAACCTTTATCAGCTAAGGAAACAGCCACTTCACCGCACCTTGCACGGCCTCTCACAGAAATACGGCCCAATCCTCTCTCTCCGCTTCGGATCTCAACCCGTCCTCCTCGTTTCATCCGCATCCGCCGCGGAGGAATGTTTCACCAAAAACGACATCGTTTTCGCCAACCGTCTTCACTCTACTGCGAGCAAGTATCTTGGCTTCAACCACACCATTATCACAGCATCATCGTACGGCGACCACTGGCGCAACTTGCGTCGTATCAGCTCCCTCGAGATCCTCTCCAATCACCGTCTTAACTCCTTTTTGGGAGTGCGAAAGGACGAGACGATGAAGTTGCTAAGAAAGCTGGCTAGGATCTCTGGTAAAGAAGATTTAAGGAAAGTGGAGCTGAGACCAATGTTTACGGAACTGACGTTCAACGTTGTGATGAGAATGGTGTGTGGGAAACGCTACTACGGCGAGGAATTCGACGGGACCAACGCTGAGGAGGCTAAGAAGTTCAGAGAGATCATGAATGAGATATCGCAGTTTGGATTGGGGTCAAACCTTGGAGATTTTGTGCCGCTTTTCAGAGTGTTCAGTAGTCACAAAAAGTTTAGAAAGGTCGGAGAGAAGCTAGATGCGTTCTTCCAAGGACTCATCGATGAGCATCGGAATAAGAAGGAAAGTTCAAATACCATGATAGGCCATTTGCTTTCCTCCCAGGAGTCGCAACCTGAGTATTACACTGACCAAATTATCAAGGGACTCATTATGGTAAGTGGTTAATTTACTTTCTACCATGTTCATCATTATCATGTTCCCAATTAATCTTTGAAAAATTTAGATGCAACTTTATACATGTTTTTAGTTAACCGACCAACATGACAAATTGACAAATCATTTGTAGGCATTATATGTGGCTGGAACAGAGACTTCCGCAGTAACATTAGAGTGGGCGATGTCACATTTGTTGAAGCAGACTGAGGTATTGGAGAAAGTAAGGATTGAAATAGACATGGAAATTGGAGAAGAGCGTTTGATAGAGGAAGCAGATGTTACCAAATTACAATATCTTCAGAATGTTATATCCGAGACTCTACGATTGCATCCCCCATTGCCAATGTTGTTGCCCCATTTATCCTCTCAAGATTGCAAGGTGGGAGGTTATGACGTGCCAGGTAACACCATGTTAATGGTGAATGCTTGGGCCATACATAGGGACCCGGAGTTGTGGGCTGACCCGACAAGCTTTAAGCCCGAGAGGTTTGAGAATGACCCAGTGGATGGTCACAAATTGATCCCTTTTGGGTTGGGAAGAAGGGCATGTCCTGGTGCGGGCATGGCCGACAGAATTCTAGGCTTGACTTTGGGCCTGTTGATTCAGTGTTTTGAGTGGAAAAGGGTGGGTGAAGAAGAAATTGACCTGAGTGAAGGACGAGGAACAATTGTTCCCAAGGCTATTCCATTGGAGGCTCAATGCAAAGCACGTCCAATCGTTAGCAAGATCTTCTAATTTTGTCTAAATTTTAAATTGCATCCATCATGTTGAACTAGTAGCCTTATGACAACTTATCTGTGTTTTATACACATTTATAATTTAGAAGTTACATTGGGTAAGTGCTTCAATAAAAAAAAGTGTGTTAAATTCTTATAGCAATAAATTATGTAAACAAAATGATGACATATGTAGTACATCGTTGTGATAAATAGATGGTCTAGCATGTAATAAAATTTCTGGTGTTTAGATTAATCTCTTATTCACTTCTAATATTATGTATAAATATTGTTTCAGTTGAATCCCAACTTCCGTGACAGTCCACGTTATTTATTATTTTTGTATTAAACTTTAAAACCGTTCAAGGAACTAATCTTATTTGACGTTAAAGTGATATTTCATAATGAACCAACATCAAGAATTCATCGACTCGTGATTAAGATTGATCAACATCAAGGACCTTTCCTCCTAAAACACACTAAATTTGACCTTTTAGTCCGTGGATTTTGGATTGGAGGAAGTTGGCGTTGGAATTGTTTATGGGAGGGTCTTTTTATTTGAGATCGTTATGTGTTTAGAGTTTGTTTGTCAAACTTTTGTCCTTGATTTTATTGTAATTAAACTTTGTCCATCACCTTTGTTTTAAAAAGGAAAATAACTCAATAAACAATGACCAAAGAAATCCTATAGATAGTCTGCATATTACCATTAACATTGTCTCTTACTCCTTATAAATTGAACTTGTATCACGTTCTTTGAAATTGAACCTATATCATGTTCTTACAATTTATAATACGAGAAAGAAATTTTTTGAGTTCAATATCATCCACATTTATGGTAAGAAGATACTTTGACACTAAGACTTAAATTTAAGGAGTTCATTTCCAAAATAGAAAACAACAACAACAAAGAAGGATGTTTGGATCTCAAATTCTGTAAGATCAGATCATTAAAATAGGTGTCACTCAAAAACTACGGTAGATGACCATAGCATAATATATCTTACTTCTAGACTTGCCAAAATAAACAATTTAAATTTATTTTTTAAATTAATAATTTATTAAAAAATTGATAAAATATACTTATTAGAAATCTCATATACTTATTAGAAATCTCATATCAAACTGAGAATATAACACATTAATAATATATAATTCAGATATAAAATTCATCTTATAAGTCAACTTATAATAATATATAGCATAAGTTTAATCTTTAATGTGAGAAAGTGTACAATATTTTAAAATATTTATGAATTATTTTAAATAAATAACATTAATCACATTTTTATATTTTAAATTGTATCTTGTCATTGTTAAAAGTATATGTTATCGATTAAAGTATTATTTTTAAAATATGTTTAAAAAAAAAAATATATATATATATATATATATATATATATATATATATATTACGTGTTGTCTGACATAAACATTTAATTAATATATGAAATAGTTGCCAATTAAAATTTATGTAAACTATAGCAACAAAATCTAAATAGGTGATGAATATAGAAATTACAAAATCTTACATAAACAAAATAGTTCTTGTTATCTCTGCCTTTGTATACATAAATTAGCGAGAATATTAGCGTATTAACGGTAAATAATTAGTCCTAGAGCGGTATTTAAGTTGATAAGAAGAATCAGTTTAACATCAATATTATTTTGAAGTGTTTATTAGCAATTGATGCACCCTTTTTTTATTAATTACAAAGTTATAAATCATTAAGCAGGGACTAATTTTTACATGTTAAGTATTATTTAAAATGTCTTGTGTATGTGACATATATTAAAATGATTATCAAAAGCGAAAATTTTGACGCATGAAAAAAAATTTGAATTTTAGAATGTTATAGTTTTCTTTAACTACGTAGCAAGTGCGGGAAGCTTAATTTTCAAAGTTAAAGTCAAAGATGTAGTTTTTTTACCTTTCAAAGTAGAATATTATTGGCAGCCTCTTACAATGGAGGAACAGGAGGAGCCATATATTGGCAAAGGATGGGGTTTGAATATAGTTAATTGCTAGATCGTTAAACATGGAAAACATTCTTATCAACGTGTTTTACCTCGTTGCTTTTGTTGTCACTTTGAAATTCTTGTTCTTCAGGAAAAGATTGAAAAACCCACCACCGTCTATACCGTCTTTTCCCCTGATCGGCAACCTCCACCTGCTCAAGCACCCAATTCACCGGACCTTGCACGCCCTATCGCAGAAATATGGTCCTATCTTCACTCTCCGCTTCGGCTATCAACCCGTTCTCGTGGTTTCATCCGCAGCCGCAGCGGAAGAATGTTTCACCAAAAACGACATCATTTTCGCTAATCGATTTCACTCCACAAAGACAAAGTACCTCGCCTTTAACAACACCGTTATTACAGTCTCATCATACGGCGACCACTGGCGCAACCTGCGTCGTATCAGCTCCCTCGAGATCCTCTCCAATCACCGCCTTAACTCCTTTCTGGGAATCCGGAATGATGAGACCCTCAAGCTGCTTCGAAAGCTTGCAAGGGTTTCTGGTAAAGATGCAGGTTTTACGAGAGTGGAGCTCAGGCCCATGTTTGCGGAGCTAACGTTCAATATTGTGATGAGAATGGTGTGTGGAAAACGCTATTACGGCGAGGAGGAACTCGATGGGACCAATGCTGAAGAGGCTAAGAAGTTTAGAGACGTCATGGATGAGTTGTCACAGTTCGGATTAGGATCCAACCTTGGCGATTTTGTGCCGATTTTCAGATTGTTCAATTTTAGTGGTCACAAAAAGTTACGAAAGTTTGGAGAGAAGCTAGACGCGCTTTTTCAAGGACTGATTGATGAGCATCGGAGCAAGAAAGAAAGTTCTGACACCATGATAGACCATCTACTTTCCTCACAACAGTCACAGCCTGAGTATTACACTGATCAAATTATCAAGGGTCTTATTATGGTGAATCATTCATTTTGTTTCTCATGATTTTAACACAATTCACGATTCAAGTTAACTGAATATATATTTGTTGGTTTTGCAGGCGTTAATTGTGGCTGGAACAGAGACTTCTGCTGCAGCAATAGAATGGGGGATGTCCCATTTGGTGAACAATCCGGAGGTGTTGGAGAAAGCAAGGATTGAATTGGACACGCACGTTGGAGAAGTGCGTTTGGTAGAGGAAATGGATGTTACCAAATTACAGTACCTTCAGAATATAGTATCTGAGACTTTGCGATTGACTCCACCGGTGCCCATGTTAATACCTCATTTATCCTCTGAACACTGTACCGTGGGAGGTTATGACGTGCCACGCAACACCGTGTTAATGGTCAATGCTTGGGCCATTCACAGGGACCCGGAATTGTGGGCTAACCCAACGAGTTTTAAGCCCGAGAGGTTTGAGAATGGGCCAGTGAATGGTCGCCAGCTTATCCCCTTTGGGATGGGAAGAAGGGCCTGTCCTGGTGCAGCCATGGCCCAAAGAACTTTGGGCCTAACATTAAGCTCGTTAATTCAATGTTTTGAATGGAAAAGAATTGGTGAGGAAAAAGTTGACCTGAGTGAAGGACGGGGAAGTATAGTGCGCAAGGCCATTCCTTTGGAGGTTCAATGCAAAGCTCGTCCAATCATTAGCAAGGATTTCTGAATTAAGTGCTTTTATTTATTTAATTACAACTTTTAGTTTTAAGTGTGTATGTGATTTAATATAAGACATGTGTAAATTGTTTTTGGATGATAAATTATGGAATTTAAGTAAAACATTATGGATTGCATTAATGTTTTCACTGTAGTAAATTTTTGTGTGAAAGTTTAATCAAATAGTGTCTCGTTGTTAGATCATGCTTGAAGAAACTTCTTCATAATAAATTTAAGAAAAAAATGATTTTTTTATAATTTAAATTTAGTTAGTTGAAAACTTTCGAAAATATAAAATTGTTTTTACATATTATTTATACACAAGTTAATTCTAGTTTATGAAAAAGTTAAATTTAATTTATTTGTCTAGTTTTCTCTCTCCAAAGTTTTTGTTAAAAAATTCTTTGAACCTTACATTTAGTTAGCTGCGGTCATAAATGTGTGTAAAAGGCTCTCTTTCAAACTCAATATATACTAGAAAATAAAATTAGTTTATTTGTATTGTATTTGCTTCAAATGGAAAAAATGTATTGCTTTAGCTTTCCTGTTATTCTTTTAAATTGCTCCCATCAAATGAGAGAATGTTCGTGTTAATTTATGATTTGTATGAACATGATGAGAAAAATAAGAAGATGGAGAACCCCATAAATATGAAATAAAAATCCATTATTTTGCAAAGAACACAACTAAGGCAGTGGGAAAAACAAATATGTCAAAAGAAGACAGAAGTTTCTTGTTAGAAGAAAAGACAGAAGTTTCTTGTTAGAAGAAAAGACGTGTTCCAAATTATAGCTCTGGTCATTGTAATTTTTCAATCATTCAAAATATGATGGCTCATGAAAATTTAATCTTCAACCATATATAAGATTTGTTTTTCTTTTTTTTTTTTTTTTAAAAAGTGGGAAAATTCCTTTATGGAAATCCGAATCGACGAGACCCTCAAGCTGCTCCAAAACCTGATTGAATTGGACATCCTGATTGGAGAAGAGCTTTTGATGAAGGTAGAGGATGTGACCAAATTACAGTACCTTCAGAATATAATATACGAGACTCTGCGATTGCATCCACCAGCGCCAATGCTATTGCCCATTTCTCCTATGAAGATTGCTGGGAGGTTACAATGTACAACTTAACACCATGTCAATGGTGAATGCATATGCATGGACCATACATACATAGGGATCCGGAGTTGTGGGTTGAACCAACAAGCTTCAAGCCTGATATGTTTGAGAATGGTCCGGTAGACACATAGGATTGGGAAGGAGAGCGTGTCCTGGTGCAGCCATGACACAAAACTTTAAACTTGACTTTGGGTTCGTTGATTCAATGCTTTGAATGGAAGAGGATTGAAGAGGAAGAAGTTGACATGACCGAAGGACGGGGAACTCTGGTGCCCAAGGCCATCCCATTGGAGGCCAAATGAAAAATGCTTCCAATCATTAGTAAGATTTTCTGATTTTTGTTGAATTCTCCGTCGATGTGTATATTTATATTCATTTAGAAATTTCCAGCATGTAGGTATTATTAGTACGCGTGTGTTTTCAATAAAAGGGGATTGAGAATAGACTTCTTATTAACTCATCTGTCATACACAAACAGTTGTACCACCACACCCCATCTCTTATAAAGACGACATAGACATATATATAATAAGAAAAGTACTGGTAGAAGATAACCACTTTCACCTTGCAATAGCAGATCAGGTACACTCGCTTCTATTAGGCTTTGAGGAGACAAAAACCTGTTACAACTTACAACATAAAAATAACGTAAGTCTCTTCAATTCCACACCATCCATACATAAATATATATACACACACACACACTAAAACACTCTCTTTCTCTCTACCTGATATTCATCAAAGGTAGGAACCCATTCATTGGTGGCAGGGTTGCTTTTAAATCCTCTGCGTTGGGTTTCTGTTTCAGCTAGATTAACATGGCTAATGATAACGGGCAACTCAACCTTATACCCACCTTCCATGCCTTCTGTTACAGCCTTTATGAACCCAGTCCCTGTCTGTTGAATAACACGAAAAAATAAGAATAAAAAAAGTCCAAAAAACTAGATCGCATAGTAAATTAAAGAATATCGCAAAACTAAACTCAGATGCTTGAATTTGATTTAACTAATTGAGGATCCAGAAAGGGATTAATGACGAACCGTGTGATGCTGTTTGTCAATGGACGCCAATTCTTTGTAGTACTGCGTCTCCACAAACTCATCCTGTGCATCCACCTCCCTCGCCGATGAAATTGTATCCTGTCAATTTTAACGGTCATCAGAAAAACCAATTGCTGCACACCGAAAAATATTCTTCTTCTCTGAAAAGTGGTTAAGAGAGAGAGAGAGAGAGAGAGAGAGAGAGTTTAGAGACCTGAGAGCGAGATTGAAGGGATTGAAACTTGTGAAGCTCAGGAATGTTGATGTCAGAGAGGGCGTGATGAACGGGGTGTTGCGGTTCGGGTTCGCTTCTGTTGGGTTTGATGGGTCGCCGGGGTTGCAAGGCATCGAATTGGGCTCTGATCTCATCAGCGATCCTCAGTTGCTCCTCGATACTCAAAATCTCGTCGCTCCGGCTGGGCTTCGCCGTCGTCAAATGCGCCATTGTCCGGTAAGTCGTTTAGCTGTTTCTCTCTAGCTAAAGGAACGGCGATTTGCTGGTAAGTGCGCTATATATATAGAAATATGAGTGTGGAGAGAGAGTGTAGGGGTAGAAAGGACAATAGCATCGGTGAATGGAGATAGATAGTGACACAATATTATGATATGATATAGACAGCACAAAAACGAAACCATGGGCCTTCAAACTTCAAACCGCAGTTTTCGTAGGTGTGCTTTAAATGGGCTTCAGAAAAGGTCTCCAACCAGAGAACACATAAGTGTTGTCATATTAATTAATACCATCATAACTGTAACTTTATTTAACTAGTTAAATATTTTTGTACATTTTTTTATCAGATTATCATAAATATATGTAATGGGAATACTAGCATGATTTTCGTATCTGTTGATTGTTATTTTTCAAGACTTGATCCAAATTTTGTCTTATATCATGTATATTTTTTTGTTAGAGGTTATAATTATTCTTTATGAGACTACTATGAATTGCAATCTCTATCTAACTATTTTAAACCAGTTATGGTTGTATTCAAAATCATTAACTAAACTAAAATAATTTCATGCGTTTAATCACGTACTACATGCATAAGGCATTTGATTTCCTCCGTTTACGTACTCAATTTTAATTTCTGCATTCCACGTTAAAAAAATGTCCAACTACGCTGTGGCGATTTTAGAGTTTTTGGTTGTCCATTTTCCAAGTTTATAAGTTGTTATTTAACGTGCAAAACAAGAGTATGTGGTACATCATGCATTTTTTTGTCTGAGAAAATACTTATCGACACGTAAATATGATATAGACAAAGTTTACACAATTCTCATATTTATATGTACAAGTGGGGTATCATGGAAACGGGAAGAGAAATGAGTTAACGGCAGCAATCATGAACTGAATGAAACATGATGTCAATGACCTGAACCTCTTGTGCTTGGCCCCGAAGACATCGTGTTGACTTGACTCTCAATCAAAACACGGGTTCTTATATTGGTCTTCTCTTTCGTTTCTGAAGGAGTAAACTGTGGCTGATCTTTGATAGGTTTATGATGAGTGAGATTTTGTTGTGATGCAAGGACTCTACAATTTACAGGGGTTGGTATTGTGACGACCAACACCATGAGAACTACGATAAGTGAAACGCAGCGTCTCATTATTCTTCTTCTGTTGGCTCAAGTGTTGTTGGCTTCAAAACTCTTAGCAAGTGCCACAAGTGTTTATACCCAAATAAAGGGAGTCGAGGGACACAAAATATCACTTTTGGCATCTTGGACGACCAAGCCGAACCAATGGTCTTTACTTTTGAACTTAATGAACGGTGAAGGGCTTTGTTGGGGTGGGACCCCTCAAGGGATGTTTGGGTGGATGAAGAGTTTTTGAATAGAAAATGAATAGTGATTCATGGACTTTTCAAGGGGTGTAGACATTCCTAAAGAGATGGGAAAAAGAAGAAAAATGAAATTAAGGGTCTCAAGTGAACATTTCACTATGTGTTAGTCAATACACTTAAAACAATAATAGTAAAATATGTTAAAATATTTGTTGAATGACAGATCTAATGGTTGTTATCATCAATAGTAAGATAAATTATTAGATTTTAAAAACAGTTTAGGAAATGGGTTAAAATAAAATTTGAATAAAATAACTCTTTTGGAAACTTTAATTTGATTAATATATGAATTTAAGGTGCCCCTGACTTAAACCTTTGACACTCTAAAATTTGTGCAGAGAATATTTCTACTTGCCAGGGAAACAAAGAGGATCATTCGTTCCAAGATTTGAGTGCAAATGTTTAGGGTGGAAAGTGAGTAGCAGATGCAAAAGTAAAGGTGTAGGGTCATTATTAGTGACTAGTAAGCTGAGTATTTGTACTTGGGTTCACATTCCCCCAACAATCAAGAAAGATTGCAAGATTCTTATTTATTTTTCTCACGTGGAGCCAAGTTGTAGATCAAATTTCACTGGCTCTCAAGCCTTTTAAAATTTAATGTTTATCCATCACGCCAATTCTTTTAGTATTGAAGTTTTGATTTTCTTTACACCTGTATCTTCTGTCAGAATATCATAATTTTGTTCTGATAGAGTCTCCTTCTAATAGGTATTCAAGTTCAAACGTTTGGTTTATTACATTTTGAGAAACTGTAGGTGTCGTAAACGTGTTGATGATTGATATAGTTGATCCACTAACAAATTATGGGTTCGTAGTTGACATCCTTCTTCATCCCACCAAGACTACGAGAAGTAGAAGAATAAAAACCATCATTTTAAAATTAAAAATAAAAAAATATTTAAATTATTTTATGTGTTTCATCTTCCAACGCTATAGATGGAAACATAAGTATTTTTATATAACAATTTATAGTTCGTGTGTCCTTGTTTATTCCATTTCCATTTGTGAGAATTGATGGATGAAAAAAATGGTGCATACAATTTGGGGACAACCAGAATCCTCAATTGGTGGTCTCCAATCATATTTCAAAAATTAAAGGAAATGGCCTTACGAATCCCAATTTCCTTCACCGAAAGAGACCAACATTTACTTCTCCCAAAACTTTATTTTGCTTGCTACTAACGACCTCATAAACTATTTATTATTTTATCATCACTATTATTATAAATAATCATCATTGAAATGGATCTAAAATAAATTAAAAAATTAATTGAACAAAAGAGAAAACTAATGATGAAGAATTCTATGGATGTAGTGAATGAAAAACAACAATTAGGTGTTCTACGTTTGCTCACGAGAGTTTCTTCCAGAGGTTTTTTTTTTCATGCGTTGACCTTATTTGGGCCAAGCCCAAAATAGAAAACTGATGGAACCACTAAACCAACTCAATGTTGGACAGCGATTGAGCCCAGAAACTTCGATTGAATTGTGACAGTTTTTTTCTTGCAGGACAAGCGTGAAGACGTGTTTACTAATGCTGGTAATAAAATATATTTCATTTTTCATATTACTTTTCTTTTCATTTGTAGATTATTATTTTTAGGAAATGGTCAATTTATGGTTGGAAAGTCGACTTGGCACATAACACAATTTGATCAGGGATTCGGTTAAAGTCACTCACTGCTAAAAGATTAGGAATCTAAACTCAAAGAAAACACATTCATTGAATGTTAAATGTAGCTTTCTTGATTCAATAAATAGTTATTTGTAACATGTTCATATTTCATTAAACTCCAAGGAAATACATACTTCATTCAAAATCAATTATATCGAAACAAAAAAAAAAATCGGGACTTAAATAGTTGAATTAAGTTAAATTATTTTCACAATTTTCACACTTTGATTTATATGTTGATAGAACAAATGCCCTATTTTGACAGCCTAGAAAATGACGATGAGTTCCTTCCTATTCAGTGTCTGACATACATTGATTTATTGTTATTGTACCGCAAATCATTACCTAAATTCCACTACTTACCGAAAGTGCTTTATTACATAGTGCATGATTAGTTTCTTTTTATCTTTTACGCACAAATGATGGTTTAGATGTTGTTCTACCTCATATCTATTGCCAACATCATCTTTCCCTTCAACAGATCTAGGACACATACCTAATTACTATTCAAATATATAAACCAATTCCGAATTAATTTTTCCCAATGTTGTAATATGTTAATGTTAGCAACAGTCATTTTTGTTCACCCTGTTCAAATTTTAAAATAAAATCATGTAAATAGAAGAAAGTAGTGGTTTAGAATCGGTTAAGTAATTGTTTATATTTTGAATATAGAGTGGATATACTGGCCCAGCTTCTACATTCTTCGAAACCGTTATAACGAAATGCATTAGCGCATGATCGCTTATTAATTTATCTGTTTCTGTTCCTGGGCCATTGAAATTTTATAGCGCAACGTTTCAATTCAACTATTAATTTATCTGTTTCTGTTCCTGGGCCATTGCACTTTTATAGCGCAATGTTTCAATTCAACGCTTAATGCATGAGAAGGATTTCTTCTCTGCCTCTTCTGTTCTATATGCACTGTAACACCGACTCAATCTTATCTCTCGAACACATGCGGGCCACTCTCTGCATCACTTTCTATCTTCAATCACCGTAACAAAGGGTTACTCACTATTCTTGTATTCATCAAGTTTTATACATTTCTTCAAATTTCCAACCCTCCACTCATGCATAAAAACACTAAAATTATATCTCTCTATTATAGGTCCCGACACAGAAACTGCATAAAAACTGAAACCAGCATCTATTCAGTAATATTCCCTTCGCTAAACTGATTTAACTACTTCTAAGTTCTGCATCTCAAGTGTTGCGTGTAGAAGACCATATGTCTTAATTTTTTTAATCCCAGCCAGAGATTGAAATTTCGTTTGGCAAGCAAGATAATAATAGACTTGAAGGATTTTGTTTATTCTAAGCTTGTTTTTCTTTTTGTTTCACTGGATAACGAGAACAGGTCCTAGAGACGATAAAAAAAAAATTACATAAATTTCTCAAACTAATTTAACATCTATCTCCATCCGTCTTCTTTGGATCCGCTTCTTCGAAAGAAATCCATTGAATCCATCTCTCCTGGGATCGAGTTCTCTTACTGTACATTAACCAAAATTATTTCCTAGAAACTTTGATTAAAAAACAGGAAAAAAAATTAAAGGCTTCTTCTTTTTTTTTTTCCCATACGGAGGAGCAGACGAACATTTTCTCTCATCCCAACTATTCTTCGCTTATATTTACGAATCGATCCTGCTAATCCCCATTCGTTTGACGGAAGCATTCCTAAATCCATCATCTGCAGCCTGAAAACACATCCCATTCGGATTCTGGCGCTCCATATAACTCCTCACCTCCTTCTTAATCATTTCCTGCATCACCGACAAAAACTCTGCGCTTAAGTTGAAAGCCCCCAACCCCGGTGGCTTCAACTGCTGCACCACCGCCACCGGAGCAGACATTAATGGGAGGACAGGGATGGTGTTCGACGGCTGTGGCGGTGGTGCGGGATGGGTTGACTCAGATATCCGATTGGAGACTTCGGAAGAATCGACGCCGGGGAGGGATAGGGAAAGGGAAGTTGGAGGGTCATTGGAGGACGACGTCGTTTCTACGGGCGGTAGAACCGCGCCGGTCCTAGGCACGGGTCGAAACACGTGTGAGGGGGATGCAACCGGCACGCTGGACTCGCTCACATCGGATCCGGAGGGGCTACCAGGTGTGGGAGGGTTCATGTAGAGTCCGGTGGAGACGGGGATGGCCGCGCCGGCACTAACGGATCTCTTAAGCGGTGGAGCGTGGTCGTCTATCATGATCGAAGCGCACTTGCGCTTCAACGTAGAGTTCCAGTGGTTCTTGATTGCGTTGTCGGTTCTGCCCTGGAGCAAGCGGGCTATGGTAGCCCATTTGTTACCGAAGCGGGCATGGGCCCGAATTATGGTATCATCCTCTTCGGGCGTAAAGGCCCGGTGCTCCACCTGGGGGGAGAGCTGATTGCACCAGCGTAGCCTGCAGGACTTGCCGGAGCGACCAGGGATGGACTTGCTAATGAGGGACCAGTTCCTGGGCCCGTGTTTGACGACGAGCTTCTGCAGAGCTTCGTCCTCCTCGGGACTCCATGGGCCTTTGATCCGGTCCATGTCTTTTCTCGACACAACAACGCCTGTGCTCATAAATAGGTTTTGCGAGAGGGAATGGAAATAGAAATGGAGAGGCTCCTGTGGCGTGGAGTATTGGCTTGCTTTGGTTGCTTATATGTGAGAGGGAGAGGGTGAAAGGACACCGGTTTGGCAAGTTAGGTTTTGGAGTTGTCAGCGAGCGTTATGGGCAATCGGTACCGCTTCTTCCAGGGAAGCGGTTGGCTTGGGATTTGGGATACAGCTGTCATTGGACACGCGTCACTTCTCAGCTGCTCCCATTTACACAGCTAAGTCACCTCACCTCCCTCCCTCTTTCTGTTTTATTTTTATTTTTTTTTGTCAAATAAAAATCAAAACACACACGCAAATTATTATTTCCCATGCAAGAAGATCAAGAGCGGAGCGCGTCTGTTACACACTCAACGCTCCACTTGATTTTACCCTCCACTTTACCTGGGGAGAAGAGCCTTTCCCTTCTATTATTGCATTGTTTTTGTTTTTTCAATTTCAACTACAGTTTACTATTTTTTGTAAAATAATTTTGTTGTGAGTGAAATTGATATTGAATAAATAAATAAATAAATAAATAATGTGCGTGCATTTGAAAGTGACGAAGAAAAAAGGAAAAAGTAGAATAGTTACGTGAAAAGAACGGTTTTGGAAGAAATAATATCCACAAGAGAGACAGTGAGAAGCAGAAGTTAGCTTACTAAGGGGAGCATAGAAAAAAAGAAAAAGAAAAAAGAATGAGATAACGATGATAACGGTTGGAGTTGGGGTTGGGTGAGGTTCCTTGTGGTTTGGTTTGAGTTTGACTGAGGAGTCCAGGCTGTAGAGCATTTGGTGTGGGATTTTTAAGTTTCGTCCTTTTCTCGGGAAAAACAGAAGATGGACCCAGGAGTGTGGTGAGGTGGCGAAAAACGACAAGATTGATCGCCGAATCAGAAGGCGAATCATTACTGCTTTTCTGTCAGTCCAGCCTGTATTCTATACCTGCCACCCCACCACCATATCATCCTATAACGGCCTATTCTATCTCCCTACTCTCACTCACACGTGCCGCTCACTTCCATTTCTTCTTTTAAACAACACCTGCATTCCTGTACGGAACCCCTCCCCCTCACTTTCCTCTCTTCTTCCTCTCTACTCCTCTTCACCCCCCCCCCCCTTCAAATTCCTCATCAAATCAATCCCTCCTTTTTAATATTACCAAGCCCACGTATTTGTCAGTTCAAAAACCATTAATTAATTCATAATGTTGGAGTGGAATGGATTAAACAAAGGTTTGGGAAAAGGGCGAGGGAGAAGCTTGTCGGATAGGATGGGGTCTTCAAATGCCAAAGCAAATATATCATTATTATCATCAAACACATCCGTATCCATTTCTGTTACTCGTACATCGTACATATACTACCCATCTTGTCCTCTTCCCTCTCTTCCCTCCTTTCTCTCTCTAAACTCATGCTCCTAACAAATATATCAACCTCCTCAAATTCTTACTCTGTATATCACACATTAAAATTACATTCTGCCCCACATATTGTGCATGTCTTTATCTTTAGTTATACTTAATTTTACATGGATAAAGTTTTACTCCATAAAATACGTGGACTGTGATTATTAATTGTAATTTTTAAGATTATACAACAGAAAGTATTTTTCTTAAAATTATTAATTCTTCCTCCATACAAAGTTTCGTTTAACTTTAATGAAACAGTGCAGGAGAAATTTAAGTTGTGTTTTTATAAATCTTCAAGATTTTAAAATAATAATTTTCCTTTTTTTTTCTTATGGTTTTCATTGTCTTTATTAAAATAGGCTCAAATTAATCGTTCACCAAAATAGCATGTATATATAATTATATTTTTATTGACCTAAAATTGAAATTGAATAGATATGCAAATATGACATGTAACTTATATTTTTAAGGAGATAAAACTCAAGGGTTTTAAACATGTTTTTTTGGAAATATATATATATATATATATATATATATATATATATATGAAAATTTAAAATTTTAAGATATCATTAGATATTTCTTTAATAAGATGCACTAATAGTTATATATACAAATATATAAATGATTTATAATATATTTGATATTTGCACTTTTCCGTTTCTTAGTCTTTTGTTCAATTTATTGTAATAAGTGTTGATCTGAATATAAAGAGTAGATTGACTTGATGTTATTCTCACGTTTCTCCAATTTATCACCCCAACTTATCAGCGCCACTAAATATCAAGTGAATTTATTTATGATATATTTGTTGATGCTTTTTTTAAATAATGACCATTAATATTATTAAATTTAATTATCATTTGATTAATTTAAATTTATAATTATATTTAAAATAAAATATAATTTATAATAAATAAATATTTAACCTGAAAATTTAATTTATAGGATAAAGTTTATATTTCACTTATATATTATTAATTTATTATATTTTTAATTAATGTAAGGTTTAAACATACACTTTGATAATGAGATATTAGTGATTTTCAATTTTTAACACACCTGTTATCATTATCATGTGGTAATTTAATTTCATTAACTCTTTCAAGCATTTTGATAAACATTCATGAAAGGGTGGTAGAGGCTTATTTATAGGCACAAACACAATATACACTAATTAGTCAAGTTTAAGATATGCATAACATACTAATATACATGTCTACAATCCCAATAACACATGTAAAAGTGAAATAGTTAGTGAAATTATGCTGGACTAGTAAAGTTGAACATTTCTATTTGGTTTTCCGTTTTTTATTTCTTTATTTATCTTTTAAGTATGTGGTGATATCATCACGAGACAATAATATTAAAAGACAATAAAAATGTAAATATTAATATTTAAAAACAATATATTGATTAAACATTAGTGACCAATAAAAATATAAATATTAATATTAAAAAAATATGTTGATTAAACATGCCTGGAAGTGTTTTATAAAGATTTTACTATTGACGTAGAAATATTCCAATAAAATGTTTTAATTTAAACTTCCCATTTAGATACTAAAGTAGAACACTCCTTCTTGGTGTGGTGTTGAAATACCTTTTATAATTATTTTAAACTGATTTTTTATTTTTTAAAATTGAAGTTGTTTTTTTTTTTTTTATTTCGGATCTAATTAGCATTTTTTTCCTTATTTCATATTCTAGTTGTTTTTACCATAGTCACTACACTAAATGATTATTAAATGATCATTTAATCTAGGAGGGGTGGTAAAAGTTTGTCTATAGGTCCTACCAGGTAATATCTTCCAACTTTTACTTTTTTTGTAGATTTTGTTTCATTTTTTTTAATTATGTGAATTTTGTGAAAATAGTATGTAATTAGTGTTTGGAGTGGACCTTGAACAGATAAAAAATCATGCACGACACCTGTAGTTATAAATTGTGTATTATTTGAACTATGCACTTGCACACATACCGGTTTGACTCAATTATTGTTTGAACTTTGCATATATACCATACCATGATTTGACTCCACTATTGTTTTTCTTTTTATACATATAGCATAATTTATAGAAGATATAATTTGAAACTATCAAAATTCTATTTTATAATATTAGAATTCCAAAATATTAATTACTTTTGTAAATATAGATATGTTAGTAACACTAGGATTTTTAACTTTATTTTTAGGTTTTAGAGTTCATTTATTATATTTAAATATGCCACTGTATTTTATAAATTTACTGATATGATTTATTTATTAATTTTTCTAGGAAACATTAGAGTTGTAAGTTAGTAGTAATTTTAAAATTTTTTGTTATTTTTTAGGGTTTATTTATAATTTTTTAAAACTTATATTAGAGTTTTGAAGTTTTAATAATTAAAAAAAGTGTTTTTTTTTAAATCCCATTAGATTTAAGCGATTTTAAAAAACAATTGGTAAGGATTAGAGTTTATTTATTATTGTTTTTTTAAATTAGATACACATATGTATTATAGTAATTTTTAAAATTAATTGATAGCATTTAGAGTTATTTTATTAATTTTTTAAATTAGATTAAAGTTGTGAAGGTTTAATAATTTTATTTTATTTCATATCTCCCATATTTACCTATATTCTATCTGATAGTTTATCATTGAAAAACTCTAAGTTATAATTACACAGATCTCTTTTGTAACTAAAATGTAATTTAGAATGTTAGTTTTTGATGTGATATTTTGACACTTTCAATTTCATAAATGTCGTTATATTTCTCTATAAAATATAGTTGGCTCACGTTAGAGATGAATGTGATTGAACAAATTAATGATAAGATTTTCAAAATATGAAATAAAACCCGTTGGTTATTTGTTGAGCTACAATTGACAAATTTTGATTTAGGTTGTTATTATTGTAGGTGTGTAGAGTATGAACTTTATTTAACGAACCTCTTTATCTTTGTTTGTTTAGTTTTCTCTTAAATGTCTCATTAAAGAGCAATTTTTTTTCCTAGTGTTACTGACATTGAAGTAAGAGCAAGACACAAAAAGAATTTATCGTTATCGTCGAAGTCAGATACATATTAATCAAATTCGTTATTTTTATACTCAAGTGTTAGAATTTGTCAACTTCCTTGATTCATTTTATATTTTTATATGGTTTAAAAAATGTTGGGTTATAAAAACAAAATAATATTTTACTCAAATGAATTAAGATATGTAATAATTATTTAATATTTTTATTTTACAATATATTAAACAAAATTCAAAAAAATAATAATCACATAAATAATATATTTTTAAAAAAATTATTAAATTAAAATATTTATTAATTTATTTACTGAATTTAACGTATATAAAATAAAATTTGTATGTCATAAAACAATACATTTTTCTCTCTTTACTAGTTTTATTATTTTCTCCTTTTAATTTATTTTTCTTTTCCTTTATGATAATTTTTTTATCAAAAATAATAAAATTATTTTTATTTAATATATAATTAACTAATCTTTTAATATTTTTATAGTATCACAAATATTAATAAATAAATAAATTTTAGCTATAATATGTTATTTTTTATATGTAAAATATATATTTTTTAATAGATAAATAATTGATTTATTATGATAAAATAAATTTTAATTATTTATTTATTATTATTATTATAAATAATATTATTTATTTTTTAAAATATTTGTATTATAATATTTTTAATAAAAAAACAAGAGAAAATGAGAAGAAATTGATAAGAATAGAAAAATAATAAAATGAGTAATATATATATATATATATATATATATATATATATATATATATATATATATATATATATATATATATATATATATCAGAAAATTTTAAATTTAACAAACCCGTGTTTTATCTTATATTCTTTTTAATTCGGCATAATTTCTTCTAAACAATGCATAAATTCCACTCCATTTTTCTGTTGCAGTCCTTTTTTTTTTTCTTTACAAACTAATCAAATAATAAATAAATTAACAAAATAAAAAACCATAAAAAATTAATTATTTTCTTAAACAAAATATAATATTTTAATTACTTTACATTCACAACATACTCTTTTGGTTCAAGATGTTATTTAATGATTTTAAAAATAAAAAATGTATAAAATTGCATTAACATTGTAAATAATAATAAATATTATAATTAAAATCAACTCAAAAAAATATTTATAAAAATGGTTTATAAATAAAAAGCATAATTTTATTATAAAATTAAATTAGACAAAATTATTTATATAAATATTTTTGTTATAAATTTAAATAATATTTGAATAAAATTTATAATAAAATAACATATTTTATATTTAAGTATTTATTGAAAATAAATTTTTAAAAAAATTCTTTAATAATATTTATGTTGAAGTTGCTTAAAAGATAAAAGTGTCTTGGTTTATATATATATTAATTCTTAATTTATTATATTTTATATTTCTATAATGAAATTTGTTATTTAAAATGAGAGTGTGATCTAATCACGCCTTATAAAAACATAATAATATTTAATAAATTATTTTTTAGGATTAAGTTAAATATTTTATATATTCAATACTGTGAAAACTTTGAGATCCCAAAATACTGAGCGAAGATTGGCCTGTGTTTGTGTCTTTTATTTAGAAAATAAGGCTTCTCCATAGAATAACAATAAGAAGAATTTTTTGTTAACTACTAAAACCTACAAAATTTCTCTCTTTGGTATTTGAAATTTACCAAATATTCGAAAAATTGTATATACAAAAAGAGTAGTGATATTTTGACAGCTAGAAATCATACAATTCTTCAAACAACTCATTTTTATTAATATAATAATCTATAGACTGATTTAATAAAAATAAAAATAAAATTAAATTATTATTATAATATTAAAATACTTTTATTAATATAATAATCTATAGACTGATTTAATAAAAATAAAAATAAAATAAAATTATTATTATAATATTAAAATAAAATTATTTACAGGATAATTGTATGTATTTGAGTGGTGAAAGTATCATTTTCCTATAAAAAATTGTTATCTCCTTTTCCGAAGCAGAGTGCTAGTTTTGGTTGGGTGGTGGGTGATTTAAATTTACAAATGTAATAAATGGTTATGGTTTATGTGTCCACAATTATTTGCTGAGGTTGTCTCTGTCTGAGTGTGAGGAGAGAGGTTTGGTTTTTACGATGGAAACTGGAAACTGTTGTTGTGTCCGGTTTCGAACCGTCAATGATATTAAGCGTCCCTGAGCCAACTTCATGGGCCACACTGCCAGCTATCGCGCATTGAAATTACTTTTTGCAATTTTTATATAATAATAATAATAACAATCTATATTTTAATTTATACAGTATAATAAAAAAAGGAAAAAATATGGTTTGACATCTTCTGTTTAATAATATCCTATTAAAAATTTTATTTATTAATAAAATAATAATTTTTAAATTAATTTTATTAAAAAGAACCCAATTTGTTAAACTGTTTTTTTTATTATTATTATTATGAAAGTTTTACTTTTGTTCTCACTATATTTATAGTTATATTAACTATTATTTTTATTTAATAATGAAAAAATAGAAAGACAGTGCAGCAATTTAAATTGTTTTTAATAATAATAATATTTTATTATTTGATTTGGAATTTGCAGAGTAGAGAATGCTGAAACTGACACCCTCGTATTCATCATATCCATGATTCCCGCTATCCATGGTAAAGCCTACTGAGCACCTGTGCCCCCATGCGACATCGTTTTATTGTAGTACTGCCTTCATTCTCGATATGCGCAATCTCTTTTTTTCTTTTACCACGTTTTACTTTTTCACTTTTATCCTTAAACAATCATCTATACACTATATTAAATTACTTTAAATATTAGAAAAACCAATATATATAATTTAGAAAAAAAAATCAAGAATTCACTATTACCAAATATCTATTCAACAATTTTATTTATTAATAAAATAATATTTTTAATTAATTTTATTTTAAATCAATCACTTTATAAATATAATATTAATAAATAAGATTATTAATAAATATTTTTTATCTTTTTATACTGTCAATATTTTATAACTTATTAGATGTGTGAAACAAAACTTTTGTTTGAATTAGAGGGTGAAAAAGAGGAACATAAAATGAAAAGTGAGGTTTTTTAAAGAAAATAAAATAAAAAATAAATATAAATAAGTGAAAAGATTGTAAAAAAGTTAATTGAATAAAAAATTATAATAATAATTTAAAATATGTAATACCAAAATACTCCTATATTAATAAAAGATAAAATAAGTTTAAATTACAATTATGAGATAATTTAGTTTAATTTAACTAATTTGTATTATACATAAGATTATGTTATATATTAAAATTACATTATATATAAAATATAAAAAAAAATTGTTATATTTGTAAAAATATTTAAAATGTATTAGTTTATTATGTTAATAATAACAATTTATATTTTTTATTAAAATTATGAAAATTTGATTTCATATAAAATACAAAATTTATATTAAAAATAAAATAAAATGTATAGTCATTCAAAAAAATTTAAAAGTTTTCTTCGACTTGAGTGGAAAATTTCATTGATAATTAATAAAATTATGGTTATAAAAAATACAATTATTTAAATAATCATTATTGATATAAAAAATAAAAACTAAAGAAAAATAAATTACAATCATCTAAAATAAAATAAAAAAATACAAGTCATCTAAAGAAATTTAAATAAAAAGACAAATAGAAAGATAACAAAAATAACAAGAATAAGATGTCTACTTAAGACTCTCACGAATATGATCAAATACATCCCGATTAATTTTTTGGTGCACATAATTAATCTCTTTTTGAATACTCTAATAATTATGCTCAACATTAACTTTAAGTCTATTCATATGTCTTTGTTTATCCTGAATACCTCTTTACACGTCTTCATCTTTACTCGAGGGGTGATCTTGCTCATGGCCAGGTTGTTGGACATGATGACACTTGTCATGTTGTCATGCCCCGTCAACATTTATGACATTCAGCTTTTCAAATCTATAATAAGTCTTACATTTCGTCATACATCTGATGATAATAAGGTTAATTAATCGGAATATAATTTTTTACGCAACATATCATGAATATATCATCATGTAAGACTAGAGCATAATTGTCTCCTCAAGAACTAAATATGAGCAAACACATAATGTAAATATCTATCCTTCATAGTCAAACTACCGGCATTTCTACAAGTCTATACTTGTAGTTTTAGTCTAACAATCGCAACCAATGTCTCATCTCTATCATATTATTAATAATAATAACAAAATAAAGTTGACGTTTACTTTATTATTGATCATGAGTCCACATTTGAGTTATTATATATCTCTCAAGTTAGCTCATTCTCTGTAATCATCCTCGTGAACTTGTGTTGCAGACGTATCATCTTGTCGTTCGTTTAACTCTCAATCCACTTCCTCTAAAAAAGTTTTGTCATTATCCACTCCACGTAGAGAGTTGCGCAAAATGCAACATGTCAAGACTATATTCCTGGATGTTTCAAAGCAATAGTGGGGTTCCTCCCCATTTCCTATAATAAGAATTTTTTTTCCAGCACACTAAATGTCTTTTCAATTACATTTCTTAATGAAAAATGACGGTGATTAAATAATTCTCGGAGATTCTGAGAACCTCTTTGTGAATACTTTTGCAGTAGAACCTTATCGTCCGATATGGAGTAACAATTTGAACTTTTAACATGAACCCCACATCTTCTAAGTAATATTTGCCTACAAAAAATAACATTATTTAGTAATTGCAATTAAACTCTCATGTCAATTAGTAACCTTATCATTTGGTCGATCCTTCATACCTTCAAGTATGGTGAGAGAATCCTTTCTTATTAAAGCATCTTTTAAAATCTTAGAATCTGATATAGTTCATTTCCATCCTCCTACGACATATGTGAATTTCATGTCGAAATCACAAGTTGCACCAACATTTTTGGTTGACCAATATTTTCTACCACGAAAACGGGTTGCATCCGGTCGTGGTACCTTGACTCAAACATGAGTTCCATCAATCATCCCAAGACAATCCTTAAAATAGGGATAAAATATCATATATGTTATAAATATGTAGTTGCATATCCCTTCTTGATGGTTAGACAAAAAAATTCTTTCTCAAATTCAATGATGGCATTTAGGACGTAAAAATGTCGTAAGATAACTCGATTTTTTACATTATGGCAGAAGATATATAAAAATTTAGCAAATTGTTCTTAATCGATTACACAATTGGATGAATGTTTCACATCCCATGCAAATAATATCCCGTAATAGTTCTGAATGCACAAGATACGACAACAACTAATGTCTACGACGATATTTTTTAGAACCATATAATTTAAAGTTGTTGCTGGTGATATACATAATTTCTAACATGTATAATGCATAAAAACACTACATAAGATGGTTAGTGTCATAACATTCACATTTTGTTATATTTGTTCATGAGCATGACATATTATGTTCATGTCCATGCCCACAATATTAGTAGTTATTTGTTGTTCGTTCGTTTTTTAAGTTCATATAATTTTCATTTCCATTTTTCATCGTTGGGCGTAAAGCATCTGTAGGTGGCTTTTTAAGTTTGCTGTCAAATGCCAGGGCTCAACCCTAGACAGATGTTGGAAACTACCAAGCTGGAGTACGATAGGGACATAGAGAATTTTCGGTGGAGCGATGAAATGCGTACAGATCGGAAAGAACACCAATAGCGAATACATTCTACTGGGCCGACACTAGCACTGACAGACGAAAGTTAGGGGAGCAAATGAGATTAAATACCCCAATAGTCCTAGTTGTAAATGATGGATACTAGGTGCTATGCGTTCGATGTGTGCAATGTTGTAGCTAACGCGTTAAGTATCTCGCCTAGAGAGTACGTTCGCAAGAATGAAACTCAAAGAAATTGAAATGAACAATAATTTTTTTAGACAAAAATATTTAACTTTAATTACTTCTACTATATTATCAATAATGATAATAATAAATTTGTCATTAATAAATATTACTAGACACATAATTCATAAAAAAAAAATAGACCTCAAATTAAAAACTAAGTAAATAATTAAAATAAAAAATTCAATAACTTACTTCCATAACTATATTATAACTAAAAAAATATTTGACTTAACAATTATTTATAAAAAAATATTTTTACCATTATTTTCTAATTCTAATTTATAATTTTTTATTGATAATTTACTAAGTTAACTCTAAACCATAATTATTTATTTACAAAACCTACAATATCATTATTTTTAATATAGTTTATTTTTCAATTATTCATAGTTTCATTCATTCTTATAATTAACTACTTTCAAGTAATTATATAAATTTTGTTAATTCATTACCTATAACACAAGTTAATTCTCTAAAAATTAAATTATTTTCTAAACAAGTAATTTTATAAATATTTATAATTTGAAGTTTCATTAATTATGTAA